TCTTCCATATTGTCTGCACTGAAGGCAGGACCATTAGGCAGATCTTTACAAAAGGCATTATAATCCTGGAATGGAGGAAGAGAGATGTGTAAAGATAATTAGTGTTACCAAATAAGGCCACTGACTATTGCACATGCATGAAAAGATATAACAATGGCCCAGTTCACCTAAGCCGGATTGAGTATTTGAAACAAACGAACAGTGACCCACATCATGATAAAATGCACAGAAAATATGTTGCTTAAAAAAAATAAACAAGAATGTACATGATAAACACCAATATTCTTTCTATTGGTAGCAGGCAATCTAAAATAGTAAAGCAAAAGATAAACAAAATAGTAAATTTATTTACCTGACTTCTGCCCCTAAACATTAACCTGCCTAAATCTTCATATGTCTCTGAGGTCCTACTTCCTGGTAGCTTTTCCTGTTGTCTCATCCCACTTCCTCCCCATTGGACCGGGCTGGCTTGGATACCCCTTTTTTTGTGCGTCTAAAGCACTGCAACAAACTTCTTAATCCTCAAATTTACCAAAAGATATAATGGATGCTTACCGCTTATATTTCTGTCTTTCCTATTAGAATGTAAGCTTTTTAAGTTAGGACATCCTTTACCCTTAGTAAATGTTTGAGCTGAAGTGAATTTAGTATTCTTATATGCTTTATATTATTAATTTTCCACAGTAATTACACACACTGAAAATGGTTGTGTAGTACAGTTAAAAGAGCCCTTCAATTATGTCAGAACTCTTAGACAAGAAAAACTTGAGTATCCTAAATTTATTTTTTCTTTATGCCTTTTCTTAAGATAACCACATATTTTCATATTCCTCAGGCTGGTTAATTTTTTCTGTAGTCCTCTGAATAATGTTCTTTGTCACAGTAATGCTTTTTGGGCACAAAAGTATTTGTGAACTCTCAGGCATTGTTGGAGGGCTTCAATAGAATTTTTATTATTACTTGGGTGGGCACAAAGAAGTAAGGTTGATTTTCTTGGTTTACTATTAAAATGTGACTTAAATAAAGGTCTGTTGTATTTAGCCCAAAGTAAAGAGAAGATCAGGCATTTGAGTGATTGAGATATTTTTAGAATACTGAATTATTCATATTGACTGCCTGCATAGATTATATTTATCTTGTGTTTTGTTCCAAGTGCTAAAGATGAAGTAATTTTTTAAAGAAAATTAATTACTAGGTGTTTCAGGATTACATAGTTGAACAGAAACCTGAATGATGGCAACTTTTAACTTCTTATCCCGTTATGCTTCTCACTTGATATGTGGCCTTGGGCAAATCACTACAAATTAAAGTAAGAATAGGAAATCTTATAGACCAGCTATCAGGATTAACACTTATTATGCATCCCTGACAGGTTCATATGATGCTGTCATTATAATGAATAATAAATAGAACTATTTTGAAGTCAGAATATATAATGAAACAATTATGACAAAATAATCTCAATTTGATTTAAGTTTAGTTTGGAAAGCTTCCTAACCAAATTCACTTCCCTCAGAATATAATGCACTTTCCATTCTTTCTTAGGCTGAGAAATTTTCTTTCCCCTAACTCCTTAGATCTCCATGTCCTAAGAGGGAATTAAACAGAGGACAAAAGTGCAGCAAAGTGCAATTGCCCACATTTGAGGACTCAGTTCATAGGATGTGGTGAACTCATTTTAATTTTATTTTCTTCAAGTTGTTGTTCTCTCACTTTGGATCAGAGGATCCGGTGATCCACTGACAACAAACTTAAATTGTGTTCTCAACATCCCAGTTAGTTTCCTTTCTGAAACTCCAGGCAATTTGGAGTGACCCAAAACTTGGTTGGGGCTCTATGTGACCAACCAAATATTGCTTAAATAAATCTTATAATTAGCAAGATTATATATTTATCCATTGGATAATAAATCCATAAGAACTGGGACTTTTGTTTAGCTTTGTATTAACTATAGTGCCATAAGACTGCCTTGTCACAGCAATTTGCTGTATTAAAAAGTCTTCTGGGAAATGAGACTGCTGCTACTGAATTTCCATCAGTTGGACCATTTATTTGAATTGCATCCCAGCAAAAATAAAAGGTAGAGGGGTCCAAGCCATATTTCTTTGGTATGATCCACTTATGACCAATAACCTGTGGTTGCCAAATGGCATATACCTCAGTTTATGGTATGGACTCAAACCAATTCACCGGTCCCTAATGACCTGTACTTCTGGCCTAGGATCCAACATCACCAGACTGAGCTCTAAGTGTTTTGTTTTTGTTGTTTGTTTGTTTAAATAATCTAAAGTCAGATCATTGTGACCATGTAGTGTGGTTCAAAGAATTTATTACTGCATATTTTCATAGCTTTGATCACCAAGAAAAAAAGTTTACTCAAATGGGTTTGCTCTTCTATAAGGCCTCTCCTTGATCTGGTCTTATTGTGTCACTGGAATATGATCCATTAATGATAAATCTATTTTATCAAGGTATAAACTAACTTTTAAACATTTTTGTTTGAAGTTACTCCTCTACTTGCAATCACAGCTGCCTGATGACAAATGTATGATAGTTAAATATTAATGTCCCACATGAATGTAATTTAAAAAATAAGCTATAGTTAAATAATACATTTTCTGTGGCTGAAAAAGAAGTGGTTTGATGATTCACCTCTGGAAGCACTACACAAAAAACATCTCCCATTCTCAGGAGAGCCAGGTGGAGAGAAGCATTATTTGGTTAATTGTAGTTTTACTTATATCTCTCCGCCATTTAGTAAATGGAAACCTTTTTGTTGTCAGTTATTCCACAAGTGCTTTAGGAAAGCCTAGCTTTGTTGACTGGCACTCTATGTTTCCAAATAGCTTCATAGCCAACATTTCACAATATGTTATGTGGTCACTCAGTTTTTCACATTTTGGGAAGTGAGAAAATGGACAGAGTTTAGATGACTCGTTTTATTCAATTAGGAATCCAAAATTTTATGTACTGACTTGGGCATCTTTAAAAAAAATTCATGTGCTAATGTCAAAATATAAGCTTAACTATACATCCTTTGTTGATCTGCTCATGTAAACAGGCAAAGATTTTCATTCCTCTGGCAGTTTTTTGGCACTTTCAATATAGTTTAGTTGTTTACAGTTTTTAGTGATCAAATTAAATTGATGTTTGTTGTTTATCCTTTACTTACTGGGTGAACTTCAATTTAGCCTTTAAAAGCCTTTGTAGACCCTTTTCTTTTTAAAAGCCTTCCCTGTGCTTCCCTCCTCCACAGATCTAGCTGGGTTTTCCTCAGCAGCCACCTCTGTACCTAGCCAGTTGTCCTGATGTGCTGTGAGTAAGCTGAAGGCAAATCCTGCATCTTATTCATTCTGAGCCCAGTGCCCAGCACAAACTAAGCACTCAATAAATTTTCTTGGTTGAACTAACTAGCTAGCTAACTGACTAAAGAAATTGATTCAGATGGTAAAGGGGAATGGAGAACAATTTCATAACTTCTAACAATGAACACAACATGTATTAGGGTGTGGCAATACCATATAAAGTGATTATGAAAGACATGGAGACATCTGGGGTTATACATTTCTGCAGGACTGCCCTAAAAGACAAGCTTGGCAATTGTTGCCATACAGGGGATAATCTGAATGTTCTTCCTCTCAGAATAAAGTGGACATTTTTAAAAACAACAATAACAAAATTTCTTGGTAAAATATGACATTTCCTTTTAAATTTTTTAACGCTTAGAAATGTTCTCTATGGCTTTATGATTCATTTTGTGTGTGAATAAAGTTACTCAAAGTGTCCAATAGGTTTCTATATTTATTTTCCCTTTTATTAGATGCCACTCCTGTTGGTGCCTCATAGGTGAAAAAGTAACTTGGAAGCCTTCTCATTTCATTATCCTGCAGTTTGAGTGTCATTCATTTGTGCTGGGGGCCCCTTCACCTTAACTGCACATGCCTCTCCTCTGTTCTCATCCTTGCCATTTGCCAGTGACAGGATTGGAGCCGCCTCTCCATAGCACTGCTTAACCAGGTTTGACATCCCTCTGCAATGATACTGTCACTGGCATTCTGCTCAGAGATCTCTTTTGTTTTACCCCAAGCACAGGTGGTGACTGAATAAAAGGTGATGAAAGAAATAAGAGCCCTGCCCAGAGCCATGGGCACAGGTCAAACAGGGCCCTATGAGAAAGCAGCCTGTGGCTGGAAGCATGGCTTCCAGATCTCCACCTCCACAGTCAGCTGGGCTTTAGCATTCGAAGGAAGATCACACCCGTGGACAGAGGGACCTTCCTTCTTCTGTTTAAACTCCTAACCCAACCTACAATTCTAAAGAAAGCACACTACCCTTCAAGGCCTCCCAGTTCTGCTACTGCGTTCAGAGATGATGCATCTTCTTTTGCCTGCAAGCCGGTCTGGGAGAAGGGGAGGGCAGTGGGCAGGTGGCAAAGAACATTCCTACGTTTCAGAAAGCCGGCCCACCCCAGTGTGCCCCGTCTCACCAGATGTGCAGACAGCTGAGGATGGCAAAGAGAATTCCCGCAGCGAAAGCCAAGGGGATGGCCAGGAACACCGTCAGGAACTTGTAGATCACGTATTTGCTGATTTCAAAGAGAGCGTGGCTGCAGATCCACACTTTGTCAAAAGAGTGCGTAGACACGGGCTCTGCAATCACATCCTCGAATCCCACCTGCGGAGACAATACTCAGGGATCCTGAACTGTCGCCCAACCTGCCTCTCCAGGATCCGGGAGAGCTCGGGGTGGGAGAAGCAAGAAAGAAAGACTTGGCTGCGGTGCCCCACCTTCTCTTAGGGTCATGGTGGGCGGACAGGAATTTGGCTAAGAATTCCTGGCTACTCAGGCGGCCCCACAGAGGGAATCCAGATCCCGCACCCTGCGGCGCTGACCCAGTGGCGAGGGTGGGAGTTGGGGTTGGAGCAAGTTAGAGGGGACACCCCACTCCCAGGCCTTGGCGGGGGCTCGGGTCAGCCTCAGGTCCAGGGTAGGGCCCGCCCCAGGCTTCACCTTGAGATGCGAGTTGAGCCGGTGGGGATCTCGGTCGCTGCCCGGATCCACAAACTTCTCGGGGTCGGCGTAATCTACGCCGCTGTCGCGGCTGTAGGAGTCCTCGTCCATGAAGAGCTGGACATCCGCCTTCTCGGTCTCCAGCCCCATCTCAGCGCTTGGTGCGCGGCTGCTGCAGCCCGGCTGGCGCAGCGCGGCTCCCGGCCCGCGCGGCTTCCCCTTCCCGTTGCGCTCGGCCCCGCCCCGCCTCGCTTCGCCTCGCCTCGCCTCTCCCAGAGCGGCCCGGACGGCGGTAGCTTCCCGCTGCAGGCTTCTGCTCCCAGGCCCGCGCGGCCCGAGTCCCGCCCCTCGGCTCGGGACCCCAGGGGGCGGGGGCCGAACGCAGCCCGCGAGATGGCTCCCTCCCCGCGCACCCCGCCGCCCGTCCCTGGTCAGGTCCCAGTCCGGCCCAGGCCAGGAGAGGGATCAGGGGGATGTCCAACCAGGCAGATCCCGGCCCTGCCCAGGTGGGCGAAGCGTGTCTCGGGGATTAGAACCCGAATTCGGCCCACAAGGGGCAGGAAGGCTTCTTGGGTCACATTGCACGACACCTAGAACTGGATGCGTAAGAGCCGGCAGGTTGACCCAGGGATAACGGACACACTGCAGCGAGGAAGCTTGGTGGTTAAGAGCGTGGAGGTATCGAATATGAAGGCCTGTCTTCACCTGTAGGCTCTACCGTTTACCTTGTGTGCTCCGGAGCGAGGTACCGAGCCTCTTGGAAGCCTCCTTATAAGTAGCTGCCTCCTTGTAAAATGGGAGCAATGGTGCCTGCTTCACAGCGTTGTCCCGTGAGAATTAAATGAATTAATTCAAGTAAACCTCTTACGTGGTCCCTACACACAGTACGCTTCCAATCAACGTTGTTACTGCTGCACTATGAGATAAGGAGCCATAACACACCTGATTGCCAGGCAACCTTGCAAGTGCCAGGGGACCCCGCAAGCGCATCAGCTCTTCAGCTATCCCAGTGCCCAGAGTATGTGAGTCAGCTGGAGGCACCATGAGAATATGAAACTTGGTACATGAGCCTCCTAACCCCTATGGGTTTGCATCTTCAGACCATAAGGGGAGGTCTGATTTTTTTTTTCCACTCTCTAAATTATAACTTACTTTTCCTTTGGATCAGATCCTGTTGAAAGATTTCAGGTATCTCTAAGATGCAGTCACATCTACAACTACCTTGTAGGAACCATGTAAACAAACCCCTATCATAAAGCCACACTGCCGTAAATGAACCAGCCTGTGAACTTCTCACACAAACGCTTTCAGAAGAGAGGAGCTTGCATGTTCATAAAGGGTTTAAGGTCTGGTGGACTTACACATGGGGGAGGAAAAGCACCTAGTGAAAATTTGCTGAAAGCAAAATAATGAGTCCTAGACTTGAGGGGGAGCACCCTGTAGGTATTGCTGAATACAGGAACTCACTGAACATATCAAATCCCCTTGTGTGAACTAGATTTGAAGAATTACTTCTTCTGAAAGAAAGACTATTTTTGAAAAAATACAAAAAAACAGCAGGATCCGAATTGGAAAAATACTTTGGAGCCAAAACTCAATAGTCTAATAATTAAATAAAAAGTTTACCTACTGCTACTACTGCGTATGGATGGCAGTGTTGTTAACACTGTAGAGTGTTAACATAGTTGAATGTTATGCAAACTTTGCCCCTTCTCTCCCAGAAGTGGTTCTGCTTGCCCATTCCCTTATTTCTTATTTTCTTTCCCAATTTTATCTATGTTCAATTAATTGCAAAGTGATGACTTAGACATTCTGCTTATTGCTTTTTCTATATTTCTCGACTTCCTCCATTCACCAACGTACACTTGACTCTGAGAGTTGGGACTTTTCTAGAGTTGTTGCCCAACAACTGTTTATCAAAGTGAATAGAAAACATTAATCCTTAAGGAAATCCGTTATATCAATTACCAGGAGATGGAAAAGAAGAGAGAGTTTACAGCTAAATAACATTTTGTACAAACTTATTTTCCTCAAACTTAAAATTCAAGTTTGAAGTTTAAGATTTCCAGATGTTTCATCCAAAGAAGAAAGTCATTCCCATAGTGCTAGAGTGGGCTTAAGCAGTGGCTGAAAATCTGGCATTAGGGCTTCTTTCCTTATCCTTCTCTGTCCTCTTGCCACATTTACATTTCTAGTGGGATTAGTAAGACATTTGCAATAGTTATCACAAGTAATTGACTCATTTTTTCAGGTGGCAGGGAGAGGAGGCCAAAAGGAAGGTAAAATTAACTTGGTTTTAATGGGATAGCTTATAGATTCATTTGTAAAATGGTAGGTATCGATGAAAAAGTGTCTCTAAAACCTAAGTTAAAAGAAACTCATCCAGACCCATCTAGATTTGTTGCATTTAATGTGGAGCTTAAAAGAGAACAATTCATTTGTCCATTTGTTTACAAATTTCTCTCTCCCGCACCCCTTCTCCTTTGGTAACCATAACTTTGTTTTCTGTGTCTGTGGGTCTCTTTCTGTTTTGTATTTATTTAAGTTCATTTGTATCTTTTTTTTTCAGATTCCACATGAAAGTGATATCATACGATATTTGTCTTTGTCTGTCTTACTTAGTATTAATCTCTAGGTCCATCCATGTTGCTGCAAACGGCATTATTTCATTCTTTTTTATGGTGAAGTAATATTCAATTGTATATATATACCACATCTTCTTTATCTATACAACTATCAATGGACATTCAGGTTGCTTCCTTATCTTGGCTATTGTAAATAGTGCTGCAGTGAAGGTTCTTATTTTGATGAAATTCTTGTCCACCTCACTATTTTAATACATAAAATTTTTTGAGACGAGCTGTAACAATGATTTTGCTTATCTTATTAGTAAATGCTTAGAAAATCTTAGCTACTATTGTCCTCAAGGAGTTTAAACCAGAATGATTACCACAGCAAGTAGTATCCTGCTTCCTTTAAGTGGGAGATCTACCAGAAAAGGGGGAAGAGAGGAGGTGGGTGGGAGCTAAATGGCTGAGCACTCTCTAGGATCTTCCATACCACAGAATAACTCTCCAGTAAGCTCTCTTTAATTTTTTAAAATTGCCCTATAACCCAAGGAACTAAAAAATTTCGTAACAAATCCCATACCGGTGCATTTATTTTCTGCACAGGTACAAGAGGGCTGATTTTCCAATGGTTATTAATATATTTGAAGATTAACAACTTGATAATATATTAGTATTTTTGAGTAGGATAGTTTATAACCATTTTGTTCTTCACCTTTCTCAGCATAGTGTCTAAGAAAGAAGGTTATATTTCTGGTTCCTTGAAAATTGTATATGAATACTTTTATGAATAAAAATATCTATTTTTCTCTTCAGTTTTTAAATTTTTTCCAGATCACATATGTATATATATATATATATATACATATATATATATATATATATATTCCCTCTTTATGCTTACATACAACTTTAGGCAGGTTCTGTTCAAACGACCTTTGTGAAAACTGGTTATTAATGAAAATGATGACTTCTTGATTTCACTATTATGGTTTAATCATATTTAAAGCATTTGGATTAGGCAGGGTTTCTCAGCTTCAACACTATTCATATTTTGGGCCAGACGAGTCTGTGTTGTGGGGACTGTCCTGTGCATTGCAGGATGTTTAGCAGCATCCCTGGCCTCTACCCTCTTGAGGCCAGTGGTACTCACCAGTCGTGAAAACCAAAAATATTTCCAGACATTGCCAAATGTCCCCTGGAGGCCAAAATCACCTTTTCTCTCCTTTCCTGGGGTGAGAACCATTGGATAAGGTACTGCTGAAACAGTTCTTCATGTGAATGGGAATAATTAAGCTCCAGCTGTCTATTTACAAACCCATGCTTAAATCTCATAATTGTAATACCAATTTGTCAGAAACTCCAGGGATTTTTAAAATTAACCATAAGGATACTTGTTTGCCCTTTAAAAATTTCAGAACTTATTATCATCAGTTAAATTGCAGATTTTCAATATAATGCTGGTATTATTTGAGGGATGTACCTATACCTCATTAAGAGACCAAAAAGAAACAACTGCTAGGCCCCATCTACCTTGAAGCCTCCTACATTTTCCTTACAAAGGCCAGGGCTGTTTGAATGATTATAGCTGGAAAAATGAGATTTGGGGACTTCCTGATTCCATCTTAAGGCTGTAAAACTTAGTAATTTTTGACACTCTTCAGCAACTGAATAGCTTTTGCAAGCTTTAGGTGACCTTAACTGAGAAGTTCATGGATTTGTTGGTGGAATGGCTAGATGGTTGCTTACCAAGTCCTTCAAGCACCCCTTCCCAGACTTGTTTGCTGGCAGCAAGGCAAAGCCTGAGAAATTTGGAAAGACATGCAGTATCTTGCATGAGTCATTCTCTTTGTGGATAGTGGGCTTTGCATAAACTTCCTTCCATAACTTCCTGTCCCGTACTCCATCTTCATTCATGTATCTTTTCATCTTCTCCCCCCTTCACCCCTACCCTCCAATTATCCCCTCCCCAGGGCCCCCACAAAAAAGTTTAAGGGAACAGATAAAAAATGTCTGTTATTAAAGTTATTCAATAATTAACTTTGGTGGACTGGTGCCAGAGAGTTGTATGGTATTTAATAAAAGTTTTTCATTTTTTTTCTTACCTATCACTTGTCTCTGTTCACATTTTGGGTAAAATTAGCCTTTACCAGCAAATTCTGAGTGAACCAGCAAATTCTGAGTTTAGTATTAACGCACAGTAGCTAGTTTGTAATTGGTGCCAGCTTAATCTTCTGGCTGTTTCAAATAGTACCACCTCTGGCCATAACCTCTTTTCATACACAAGAATTTCCAGAATTAACTTTTGTTTGGGAATACTTAGCTATTAGAAATAGACGAGGAAGAAGGTACACTCCTGAAAAGTCTATATTCATGACTAGAACTGATAGGATCATCATTCTATTCTCATTCAAAACAATGCATGACAATTAATTTTGCATTTTTTTTATCGTGTCTTCCATAAATAAAGGATGTTCCTGTTTAATCTTTTGAGCATCCCATTGATTTCTGGAATACTGTATGTATAAATAAGACATCCATCTCCCCAGGACTTTGGTATTTTATCTTTCCAGAACATGAAGT